TCAAGAAAATCCAATAAAATGATTACTCTAGCAATATAAAAGTGCTCCATAAAAGCTTAATAATCAACAGTATTTAAGAGGTATACCACTGAGTGCCCATGTTTTATAAATAGCATTTATGGACTTCTGCAACCAAAATTTTTATTCTCTGTGAGCTGTGGATAAATTTAGGAAGTGGTTGAAATCACATTTCAAATCAAAACCACTCAGGAGTCACCCTGCCAAATGGGTGTAAATATCCTTGGAAAATCTCACATCTAACACACAGGTTAGTAGAAGTGGACCTATCTCTTGGAAAGCTGAAAAATAGATGATTACCTTGAGCCTTAGGGAAAATATTGTTCTGGGAAACATAAACAATGTTTTTAAAATCCAGAAATATGAGCTTGGTATTTCATTTTCTTGCACACAATTATTCTGGAAATTATAAATTTTTCACCTATTAATTTTGTAAATAATTTGAGTATTAGGACACACATTATATAAAACATTTTTATAGTAAGCAGCAGACTGCATCTTGGCCCCTGAAGCACTGCTTCATATATATTTTGTCCAAAGTGCATTGGCATAGAGAAGGACCCCATATCTATTTGCATAATTTAATTGACATTATAAATATGAGTGTTTTCAATGTCATTTCCTGAATCTCATGCTACCGCCCACTACCAAGTAAGAATTCATTAAGGTCAAAAGACCATATCTTGTTTTTGTTTTGTTTTGGTTTGGTTTTTCTGAGACAGGGTCTTACTCTGTCACCCAGGCTGCAGTGCAGTGTCACACAATGGTGGCTTCCTGCAGCCTTGACCTCCTGGTCTCTGGTGATTCTCCCGACTCAACCTCCAGAGTAGCTGGGACCACAGGCACACTCTACCACACCCCACTAATTTTTTAATTATTTGTAGAGATGGAGTCTCCTTCTGTTGCTCAGGCTGGTCTCAAACTCCTGGACTCAAGTCCTCCTTCCTCAGTCTCTCAAAGTGCTGAGATTACAGGCGTGAGCCACCACACTTAAGCAAAGAACTATATCTTATTTATCTTTGTGACCCCAATACCTAGCACAGAAGAAAGTTAATATAAAGGGAAGGAAAAAGGAAAGGAAAAATCAAAAAAAAGGAGAGAGAAAGGGTAAGAAGGAGACAGGAAGGATAAAAAAAAGAGGAGAAAGAGAGGTAGGGAGACACTAACTTAATTTTTTCTATTCAGAGAATGGCAAAAGGAAACTCCTTCCTCTTTTCTTGATTATTACTGATGGCAACAATTTGCAAGATGTACTGAGACCTTAAAAATAAAATGCAGCCAAGATCAACATACAGAACATCTAAAGTCACTCAGAGCAGCTACACTTCCAACTAGCATCATTTAAGGACCCTGTGGCAGCCACCCAATGAATGTCACTGATTGATAGCCTTCTGAATAGGTTACCTTGGTAGTGCCATGACACTGAATATGACCACAGCAGAATCCTCTACTGGGGAAAATCAATTGACTACCATAGAAAAGAGGAGACATAAAACAGAATTCCTTCTCTGAGCACCAATGAGCACAGTGACACTACTCAGCAGGAGATCCCAAGGATATAATCACTAAAGAGGGCTTGAAAGTTCTCTACCATGGCTGAATGGGGCAGTGTCCCACAGATATTTTAAACACTCATCTTCCTCTAAAGGAGCCATTATCAGAGGTGCACTGAAATGTTTTTGTCCCAGGCACGTAAAGAGTTGGGCAAGCAGGGTGGCAAAGTAGGGAGAGGTTGACATACTTGCAGAATTTAAAACAATGACAATAATCAACCAACTTCAAAGGTCAAAATGCAAATGACATCCACCCATAACAAACAGGTTGGCAGTAAATAGTAAAAGAAGGAAAATAAATAACATTTATAATTCATGAAACATTTCCATAGGTATTAAAGTAATAATCATATCTGATCAAAAATGTTTAAGCCTGGTATTGACAGGAATTATTTTCTTAGATTCTCTCTTTGTACATATTTTGCCCCTTAACCCTATTGCACCCCCTTAGAGTGTTTCTCTATGACCCCCCAGGCAGCCATAGAATCCTAAATCAACCCATGGTAGCCACCCATTTCCAAATAGTACAGCTCAGGGTAAAATGTTGCCACTTTAACTCAGATTAAAATGAAACACAGTGGAAGATAGAGGAAATGCCGTATAGGGCACCTATACGGCATTTGGACCTGATGTGATGTGATAGATCTCCTTGTCAGCTCTACCTTCTGTGATCCCATGAGATTCATCACAACAGGGTAATTTGTGCTTGTCACATAGAGCAGCCAAGGCTAATAGATACCTCAATCCAGAAAGAAAAGATGGGCAGCATTTCAGAATCTAACCAAAAGGACAATACCTATCCAACTCTAAGAAACAATGTAAATTGCACTTTGTGATTACCTTCAAGTTGAACTTCACCTATGCTTTCAATCACCTTTGAATGCACATAATAAAGTCTGATTAATTATTTTTCAGTCAGAGTTTGTAACATTTAGGGCAGAGAAGATTGCTGTTTGTTTTCACTGACCAGACACATTTATTTATTTTTTTTTTTAAGACAAACAAAACTTTTATGGTCCAAAACAGTTTTCCTCCAGAATCTGCTCTATGCAAACAATAACAACTTTTTACAAAGCATTTTCACAGAAAAGGAGACAAGTCCTTCCCCAGCTTGGGAATTGYTCCTCTCTCACCTCACCTTCGGGGGAAGAGGGGATGCTATTCACTAGTGCGGGGCGGAAGGGGCACTGGGTCCCTCAGTGGTTTGGCAGGTCCAAAAGCCCCAGCTTTCCTTCACACCTCAACTTGCCATCTTCCTAAGACCTAACCTCTCCTGACCTCACCTGGATGGAGGAGAAAGCGCTTCTAACCCAGACTCAAGATCCTCCTAGCTGGAGGGCATGATTCAGGCCTAACTCACCCCTCCCCTGGAAAACAGAACCTCTGACCCCAAACCTAATCCCCTGGCCCTGCCCCCTTCGGATCCATCAGACCCGACAACTCCCAAAAGGCCTGAGGCTGGGGTGTCCCGGGGGAAGCTGAAGGTACCTCGGCCCAGGTCCCATCTAGACTCAAACTTTGCCCCTTCAAACCCCAGGGGACTCTTGCAGTTAGACCAAGAGACCTCTCATTTACCACCTCTGCAAAGAGCAGCTTGTTTTGTTTCCACTCTTTAAGGGGGCCGAGTTTAGGTATCGGAAGAAAGGAGTCGGGCCTGCCCTCCACCTCCACCCCCTCCCATCCATAAATCGGTGGAGTCCCTCGAAAGGCAACTTGTTTGGTCTGATTTTTATTTCTTCCACCTTCTATTACTTTCCCTGGGACAGCGTCTAGCCCCTTCCCCAGGCGAAGTAAGCACTTTCCAGGAGAGGAGGTCCCTCAGCCCTACCCACCCTAAGGGGAGTAAGTTGGGGGAGGGGGCTGATTAATCAAGGTTGGGGGGAATCTCCCTCACAGGCCAGATCTTATACTTGGTAACCAAATAAGGAAAAAAAGGGAACTCCAAAACTGGACAAAAGGGAAACGTCCGTGGCTGAGACTGAAGATCTCATCAATTAGGGGCCACCTGCACTTTAGGGGCCCTAGAAAGGCGACAGGAAGAAGGTGACCTTCCTCTTACCCAAACTCCCTCACCCATTAAAGGCTCCAGTGGTGCTTGGAGCTTTAGAGAAGGCCTGAAGGCCAAAGAGTTAAAGGCCTGGACAGTGGGAGTGGGGGATGCCCCCAGGGAGCTGCCAATCACCTCCCCACCCCCACCACAGCCCCAGCACCCCAGGCTGGCCCACAGACACTGTAACAACCGGTTTGTCCATCACCGAGGTCTGTCTCCTTTCCCTTTTTGTTGGGGGGGGTGGTGTCTTTGAGCACTGGCCTCTTTTGCACCCACTGGGGTGCAGGCCCTGCCCCCAATGGTCTGAGATGGAAGCGGACAGGGATTAGAATCTGTGTCATCAGCCTTTTTTGCTTAAGCCTTCTCCAGACTCCAGCCCTGGGTTCCTCGGCAAAGGATGTGGGGGAGGGACTGTCACCCCCACCACTTAGGTGCTTGAATGAAGGTCACTGTCATTTGAAGTCCCTCTGCCCACAGCTCCTAAAATGTAAAGGAAGGGGACAAATGTGAGAAACGGGGCCCCCTCCTCAAGCCAACGGTTTGGCCACAGTCCCAACTTTTCCCCTTTGGTAGAAGTTCCACAGTCAGCTTTCATCCACCTTGATCCACCAGAATTTGAGGCCAGGGGGCTCAGGGACAGCGGGACCCCCCATATGCCACCTCCACAGAGGGTGGGCGGGCTGGGGCTGAGAGTCTCCCTGGAGGCAAAGTGAGGATGCCGGCTTTAGGTCTCCATCTTCCCCCACCACCAGGGCCCGGGGGCAGGGGAAGCATTGGAGGAGGCTGAAGGTGCTCGTGGTAGGGAGTGTCGGTGCGGGGCTGTGGGGCTGCGTGGTGAGCGGAGGGGGCGCCTGCCGCTGGCATTTCTTGGCTGCTCCTCGGGCCGCCCCTTTTGCAGGCAGCCGCCCTGGCCCCGGGCGCAAACTCGGAGTGTCCAAGGCGAAGCCCTTTGCGTAACACCAAAGTTTCGACCAGCAGATCAGATGATCGAAATGCTCCTGGAGGAGATGTGCAGCCATGCTGGCCATCGAGGGGCCAGCGGCTGGAGCCTCGAGGGAAGCCGGCGGGGGGTTTCCATCGACTTCTGTGGGCTGGCAGGGCAGGAACGGCCCTGGCACCGCCCCGGGACCCGTATCCTTGGTGGAGAGGCCTGCAGGTGGTGACAGAGGCAGGGAACTGGGCTCCCGAGGCAGGCTGGCGGCTGGGCGAAGCTGAGGCTCGAGACCCAGGGCCCGACGAGGTGGGGCCGAGGCGAAGCCGGTCGGAGACTCCCGAGGGCGCGGGGGCGCCAGGCAGCTGCCGGGAGGTGCACAGGAGCGAACGCCGAAGTGCGGGAAACCGCCTCCAACCTCTTCCTCCTCTTCGCGGCTGGGACACTCTGCGACATCCGCATCCTCGCCAGCCACAGTGTTAAGATCGCCGGGCCACCTGGTCGGGGCCCCGAGGTGTTTCAGGCCATCTGGGGCCTAGCCGCCGGAGCACAGGGGGGCGTGGGGGCACAGGGGGGCGTGAGGGCCCCGC